GGTCCATGATTCTCCCTCATCAGCGATGTCTCTCTCTCTCTCCCTCTCCCCTCCTCTCTGAAATCAATAAAATATATTTTTTAAAAAAAGAAAAACGTGGTCACTTAAATTAGAAAGACCCCCCCCCAGCCTGCCAGGTCTCTGGGGGATTGAAGGCTTGTTAACTCAAATTACTCTATCAACTAATGCAAAAAATCGGCCGAGAGACAGCTGGTATCTCAAAAAACTCGTTAGTGGGGACACTCGTAAGTCAAGGCCCCACTGTATATATAGATATATATTGGGGGGGGGGGTTACCCATTTCTTAATAACTATGAGATTGTAAAAAGTTTTTCAAAAAAAGAAAAATCTGGCCCCGGCCGGTTTCGCTCAGTGGCTAGAGCGTCAGCCTGCAGACTGAAGGGTCGGGGGTTGGATTCCCGGTCGGTCAGGGCACAGGCCCGGGTGGCAGGCTCCATCCCCACGGTAGGGGGCGAGCAGGAGGCAGCCGGTCCATGATTCTCCCTCATCAGCGATGTTTCTCTCTCTCTCTCTCTCCGTCTCCCTTCTTCTCTGAATCAATAAAAATATATTTAATTAAAAAAGAAAGAAAGAGAAAGACGTCTCCTGCTTCGGCCCCCCCTCAAGGAGGCACCGAGATAGGACGGGCTTGGCCGCTGGCTCCGGCGTCTCGGTCCTGGCCGAGCGCCAGGACGTGTTTTGACACGACTCCCCCCTAATGTCTCACCGACGTGTCTCTGCGGGGAAACCCAACCCGTGTGTTTCTCCCCTTGAACTTGGCAAGTGCCGCCGGGACGCGCCATTTGATGGGGGGCAGGGGGGGGCACGGGACCCTGTTTACGAGGCCTTTGCAACCGGGTGCCCCTGGAAGCAGGAGCCAGGTTTCCCCAGGCGTGAACCAGCCCAGCTCACACGGTGTCCCCGAGAGCCCGGCAACCAGGCTGGGGCCTCCGGTGGCTCCAGACCCGTCCGTGCATTTCACAGCCCGCCTCCTGGGCCACCCGGTTCCTGGGGGCGGTCCTCTGGGGAGAGGCGG